ATTGCATTCAATAGAAATGTGTTTTTCTGGAAAAAACGAGTTTTTACTAAGGTGTTTTCTTCACTATGTTCTTACAAAACTACAAGGATGTCAGTCTGTAGGTGCAGTTTTCTTCCTACCCACATATCATTAACAGTTTCTGGTGTAGAATTGAATTAGTACGGTTATTGTTGTTGTTGGTCAAATTTTAAACATAAAAGGATGCGCGTAAAGTAAATGTTAAATAAAAAAATAAAAGATAGAGCTCTCGGCGTTGATCAATCCCTGAAGGATGCGCCATGCATTCGACTTCATTAAGTATCGTTGGAAGTGATTAAATGCATATCTGGCCTCTACAATGGCTCGTGGTGGCCTATAGATGTATCGAGCCAGTGCTACTATTCTCTCAGACAAGTCTAGTACCAATCTGCCGACCCCTCAGGGTTGGTAGGCTTAGTGGACCATGGGCATGAGGATTGATTCAACGCGTGTGTTGAACGGCGCCTTCGACCATTGCTCCCTTAAAGTAATGTTAGACAAAAAATAGCTAGTTGACTTGTGCAAAGAAAATTTGTCGATGTTACACATGCCGAAGAAGTGACGGCGATCTGGATGGGGAGTGTTCCGTAAATCGTTACATAGTCAGAAGGATGTTTCCGGGGACAAATGAATCCATGGTGGAATTTGTAGATAAGTGGTTTCATTTCAAATATGACAGAAAATGTTAAACCAAAAGCTACGAGAGCAAGAATATCACTTTTCTTTCCAATTTGGAGAAATGCGTGTGTTCGAAATTTAAGCATAGAGGAAGCCCCACTTTCCAAATAACATTGGCGGCAACTTTGAATATCTGTGTTCATTATTTTTTCACTTGAATTGTTACATTGCTTACGTGAGCTAAGTACCATTGACTATGTTTATTTCCTACTTCGAAGAAGGGTCAACTTTTTCCACAAACGCTTGTCACACTCTTTAAGAAAGACGGCGGCGTATTTTTCTCCTCATATCCGTCTCGTCGGTCGCTGTTGTCAAAAACAGAAAAGGTCCACAGTGGGCATCACCTGTTGCGGAACGAGGAAAAAATGAAAAATGCGTGAAAAATTAGTTGCAAATCTGGCTTAGAATTGATAGGGATTGACAACACAACAACTTCGATTGGAAACTTTCAGGGACTTGCAGCGAAGAAGTGAATTAGTTGAAGCGTGATTTTTTTTTGACATCTACAATCTACAATGTACGTGGAGATCAGCAGTTCTCAATGATTATAGGAAAGCAGAATTTCAGCACGGTCATGGTCCTTGATATCAAAAAATTTACGTTTTTTCACCTTGCCCTCATCGCCTCCACCGAATCATTTGCTTTTGTGAATTGTGTCATCGAAGCAGTACCATCTCTGGAGTAGTTATCCAGAACGATGTGAGAGACCTGTCGATGAACTTACAGCGAACAGGCACACAGACAAATAAATGATTGAGTAAAAAGTTTCAAAGCAGTGCAAAAATTTTCTGTTTTCCATGGTTGTAATGAACGCTGTGTAAAGATGTAAACTGAAATCTGAGAGAAGGAAAAATTATAGGGAGTTTACGAGAGCACCTCAGCTTTGTTTTTCAGTGTTGAGCATCTAGAACATTCAGTGGCTTTATGCCCTACCTGGAAACTTTTGCTTTAAAAAAAGAGTAACTTTTATCTACTGCCCATTATTTTTCTTTTGTGGAAGACTGTTATGTGAAATATAACCACAATGATGCTGAGATATTTGCAAAACTTGAACTCCATTCCAGATCGAACCGTTGATTACCATTTTCGGGAGTCCATCGCACCATTTGGGACCCTGTTTTGCCTTTCCCAGGCTAGAAAGGCTTCATGAAATTTTTAGTTCTACTGGGCCAGGATTTCTTGTTGATACTGTCAATCAGAGGCCTGTATAATCGCATTGGTTAGCATGTTAGCAGTCCCCTGTAGGATGTTTCGAATCGCTGCCTCGTTCCCGTTCACCAGGCTCACCAAGCTTTATATCCCATTCGATAGCCTCTAGCAATGCTTGACGAAGTTATATAATTGGTGCTTCCTTACTACACTACACAATTCTCGGCACTTTATCCTTAGTTCTTCAATGTTTCATATATATGATGATGGATGGCGGTCAGCCGAAATCGCAACCGTTGGAGACTGTTTGAAGAATGCAATGTGAGAACAACGTGCAATGTACCAAGTGGAGCAGGACGTGGAAATGTCGATGTACTCAATGCTCTCTGTTGCGTAGATGCAGAATTGCAAGGCGTTCTTGCAAATTCTTGTGAAATTTTATCCAATTAGACATTAATGCAGTTCCTGTAGTGAAGCTTTAAGTTGATTAAGAAGAAGCAGCTGTCCGTAAAATGTCAAAACATTTTTGAAAGTGTAGAAGACTCATCGCCATCATCATACGAGATCGAGATGAGAAAGGACGAGAAGGAAAATCACAATAATTAATCCTAGAATCAATCAATACCGATATTTTGACGACGAGGTTAGAAATAATGAGTTAACTAGTAAGCTGGAAACATAAGACAATATGTGGCTTTTCAATTTAGCGATATTTTCTAAATTTTACATCAGCACCTTCATAATTCGTGTAATGTTATGGATTCATAAAACTTTGCAATGGTGTGATCTAACCGGCGTTATATTCGAAAAGTAGCCGGTTCGTGCTCAACTAAGAGATGAAAAAGGTAAAGTTCTCGGCGTTATCAACCCCTGAGGGATGCCCCATGCATTCGACTTCATCAAGCATCGTTTGGTGGTGATTGAATGCATATCTGGCCTTTGAAATGACTCGCGGCGAACTGCCGATGTATCGAGCCAGTGCTGGTACCCTCTCAGATAAGTCTGGTACCAATTTATCGACCCCGGAGGGATGGAGGGCTCGGTGGTTCATGGACACTGGATCGATTCCACGTGTATGTTGCTGAGCTCTTCCGAACACTGTGCCACATGCACCTCCTGTGCCCAACTAGGTGGCTTTTTTCTTGTAGATTCTAACCACTTCGGCAACTCAGAAGGTTGAGCGGCGACAATGCTGCTGCTCATATAAGTGTGATGACGGACCACCAAATATGTTTGCATTCAAGTATATCTAGGATCTAAGTTGCAATGCGTCCTCGGCTTCCTTTTTTTCCATAGCACAACTTTGTATTGCCTCCAGGTGATTCACTTAGTGGCGCGCTTCTTCATCGGACGCAACAAGTTGCAACCTTGTGTAGCTTCAATATCGATGTAATCTGTAGAAATGAGAGAACTTTCAACGACTGACGATCTAAGGATTGCGAAAGGCAAACGCAAAAAAGTACTGTAAAATGCCAATTTGGTTGGGTTATGAGCTCGGATGATCTTGAGATTTGACGGGGAACCAATGAAGACCATTGTAGTATTGTTGACAAATGGGTTTCTTCGCTTCACTTTCAATTTGCTTCTACAAAAAGACATTAAAACTGAGCGGAAGAAATACACGTTCTCTTTAGAAATAATGTGAAACAAATTTAACGTCTTATTCGAGATGGTTCATATTCTTGATTCGATCTCGAGCTCCGTGCAAACAAAGCGTTTCACTTTTGGGGCCGGCAAATCCGTAGCAGACTGGTCATGGAAAATAGAATGACCGACTTGAAACATCGCTATGTACATCCTGTTCACAATATAGGCAAGAGTGTACATAACAATCACCTCTACTTCTCTTCCAATTGAGTCGAATGCACGACACGCTACTCAGCGATTGACCACAAAGGACGTATCGGTCTTTACCTGTTGTTGGAGATGGGTGAACACAAAATAACTCAGAGAACAATAATAGATTAAGACATTTACTCAGTAATAAGCTCCCATGACCATATCAAGCTCTCAGCTATTATATACCCGAATAAAACAGCCTTCCTATGCATTTCATTTAGCACCTTATGCAACTTGTTCCAACATAATGTTGGCGTATTATAACAATGTCTCATAAACACTAAAAATTGCTGCCGGCTCCGTGAGGCTTGCAGTCGAAGGTAGTATGTCTGGTGGTTCCGATTCATCAATACTTCCTCAGAACAGTTTGTGTCTCTTTTCTAAACTGATTCTAACAATGTAAGTCAGAAAAAGTTTCCTAGTCTTATGCAACAAATTCGAAGAGAAAAGGATTGGATTATGTGAGTCTAAGAATATAAGAGAATATTTTGGGTGAAGAAATTTTCTGCCACGAAAACGTTTTCGGAACACGTCAAGAAGTTCTCACAGAAAACTTACGTTAGTAAGCGTGCCATCTTTATTATCAGGATTTCACTGGACCCTGGGGAATTTAGCAAAGAGGTTCCACATAAACAACATATCTTGAAATATTTCAAACGATTTCAAAGTATTCTTGTAGCAAAAGTGCATAATGCTAACCAATGTGAAGGATCTTCCGAATCTTTGAAATTATAGCCAAAATTTTAAATGATTCCTTTTCTATTTGTTCTTTAGAAATTTTCTAGAAAGGAAATTGTCTTTCCACACCATTTCTTGGGATGTGGCCGTCGTACCACGAGGTGTTGTAATATCTCTGCAATTTGTAACAGCCAAGCAAACGTTCTCGTCGTACTGAAAGAAAAATTTTGTGAAGGAATAAGATGGCCCGTTTTAAATACCTAATAAAGAAATTTGGACTGGCAGTTGAATTAGGTATAAAACCACAACAATGATGAGATATTTGCAAAATTCGGAGTCTAGGTCTGATTCGAAACAGTGGCGATACTATTAGGAGGCTCATGTGTTAACCGCTGCACTAGCTAGCCTCTTGATGATGATTCTCTCAGCAAGTTTTTCTTTCTAGCCGGACACTCCAATCACAGAGATGGGCTTTACAGGTGATATGTCGTTCGGTCAGCATTTCTACATATGTAAACGCTTGATATTAGATGAAGTAACTGAAAATTTTAAAGCCAATGGCTCCTCATGGTAATTATTGTATGAAAGTGACAGCCCACCGAATCCTTTGAAAGTGTAATCTTCAAGGATAGTGTAGTATGGCTGATTTATTCTCTGTTTATTTGCATCAAATTGCAGCACCGAAAGCGCTTGCATTACGAAGGCCTAGTTTTTGTGTCAAGCAAAAGCAGCTCTCCGTAAATATCTCGATTTTTGGTAAACTTCCAGGTTACGTAAGGATTTTTGGAGTGTTTGAATGTCCGAGCAGAGCGCAATATTTCGTTCATACTCCGTCAACGCAACGTGAATGTTTTTCTGGACTTGCCGTTGGCGCCGCGTTCAACGGTCTTCGGCCAGTATGTGAATTTATGACGTTTAACTTTTCGATGCAGGCTGTGGATCAAATGATTAATTCTGCTGCTAAGACGCACTACATGTCAGCAGGAAGGGTGAGTTCATTCTGAGATAATTAGAGCAGTGGTATTCAGTTCAAGCAGAATTTGTCCCTAGGTCAAAGATTTTCACACATTTCTATTATTGAAGATTATAATTTGTCTGGATTAGAGCCTAACATCACCATATGATTAGTGTGAACTAAAAATTTCGGCCAAAAGAACTAAACACAACACAATCTGCTCTTAAAAGCCGCTAATGATGCAGTTTGAAACTTTAATGTGCCGAATCCTTTAAAAATCGGCTCCATTGAATTGCTATCCATACATCAGGGATCTAAAAACGACCATTTGGTACTGGTTGTCATAGTTTAAAAGAGTGGCTGGTTGCAAAATACGAGAAGGTCAAGGGTTCTGCTAAGAACATTCTACTTGTCCTCATCAACACATTGGCTTCGCTAATGATACGTTTTTCCGTCAGAGGGCAAGATCTTTAATAAATGGAAAACCATCACGACCGTGTGTTTGTGCAAAAAGGAAAGAACTCTATGACATCGGAAACTAACTGCCAGCCGGCATTCTGCTTTTTTGCATAAAAACTCTTTACTCGAATCCTCCTCAATAAGGCTAACGAAGCATTGGAAGAACGACAAACATGTGCAAACAAGATTTCGAAGACCATTCGGTATGATGGACCATCCATGCGATCACGAGATCATCAAAGAAAGTACAAGAGAGCGCTCTCTCAAAGACCTTCAGCTTAGTTGAGGCAGAACCAGCCATGAAATCAATGGACAGCCAAGGTATCGCTAATCACATCATAAAGACCCTTCGTGAGTTATACATGAATTTCACAACCAGGGTATCACCATTCTGTACTTTATTCTTATTTATTTTATCTTACTTGATCAGTCTTCTCGTCTGCTGTGAGATCCCAACAATTTTCACATCCAATTCGTTTTCTCTCCATTGTCCACAAAGATCTTCCAATTTTACGTGTGACTTCAATTGCCGCCTGAGTGTTTCCATTTCATCTTGAATGTCGTAAAATGCTGGTCGAGCAGTTCTCCCTCGAGTCCTGAGATAGCCGAACTGGAACATTCCCAATTGGACCGCAGAGAGTGATTTTTCCCAGACAAGTCCGGTACCATCTCCCGACCCCGGAGGAACGAGGAGCTTGGTTGGCCTGGAGCGGAATCGAACTAACACCATGCCCGTGATGACGGACGCCACTATCGCTATGCTATCCGACCCCTTCATCATTCTATAACGACATTAGAATCGAAATGAAGAGATGGTTTTGACAAAGCGATACTATTTCACCAAAATTATTTACAGTCATGCTCAAGAACGTCATGAAAACAATGGAATGAAACAACACGGGCGTAAAAATCGGTTATCGGTAGTAACATCACCTTTGTTTTGCTGATGATGTCATTCCTACAATAACAGGCACTGGCCACTTAGAACGAGTGTAGGACTTCGGCAACGTAAGTGAATTATTGGTCTTCGACTGAAACCTAGAAAAGCGAAAGGAATGAGACACGGGTTCGTTTCTAGTTTCCTATACTCATCGGAACCAAAATCGGATCACTTCAGCTACGTCTTGGTCAAGAGGTTAACATCATAAACGACTTAGTTCCAGATCTGATTAAAACGAAGTGAGTGGCTTCGAGAGCTTTCAAAAGCATCCAGAAAAAAGGGGAATATAAAGAACACTCGGCTCCGTGCCCATCTTTTCAGTTCTGCGATTTTTCACCTCTAATGCATGCATCGGAAACTTGACTGTTGCGTAAACAGGATGAAAAAATACACAGCACTATCAGACACGCTGTCGAAAGGTCAATGTAAGGAGTATCCCTTATTACTCAATTGAAATAGTGAGTTCGTAATTCTGATCTGTGTCAGCGATCAAAAGTTTCGACCTGTGTAAATGATCAAAAGTCAGGGACGTCGCCTTTTACACCCAACTGCCGAAAATCATATGGGACGAGCATGTGATGCGTCCGAAGGACGATAGCAGATAGAAAAAGACTGCCAGCGGTTTAATTTCACGGGATGTTAAGTGCAAGGCATAAAAACCACTGACCCAAAGATCAGAATTTCTCACGAAGTTCCTGGAAAAAAAGACATGATGCTCAGCTACATCCTAGAGCGAGCATAATCTGTTTTGCAATCCCAAACATGACACAGACAAATAGAGACTTTAATATGACGTCCATCCGACTTAGTCGATAATCGTCGGCAAGGCAGGTGATACGGTAGAGTCACGGCAGGTAGCAATTAAGCACAATAGTGGGCAGGGTTCTGGAAATCCAAAAGAAGCAGATCAACTAAAGAACTGAATTAAATGTTTCGACTAATGCACCTGATTATCGATGGCTGCTAAATGTTGACGGCAGTGATCGATAGAACTAGCTGAGAGACAGGCGAAACGAAGAACCCGCATGGTGTGGTGGTGAACGCGTTAGTCTCCGGAAAGGGTAATATCGGGTTCGATCTCCACTGCAAACACCTGCAATCCGGAGTTTTGCAAATATTTCAACATCATTGAAGCTATATTTCGCAACATACCCTGCCATTAAAAAGAGTAGGCATCAAATAATAAGTTAAAATTGTGCACCTGATTATGTCAAGGGAATATTCATAGCACTAAGTAAAAGGATAATCTCCCGGCGTTGATCAATCCCTGAGGGATGCGCCATGCATTCGATTACATTAAGTACCGTTGGAGGTGATTGAATGCATATCCCGCCTTTACAATGGTTCACGGTGGCCTACCGATGCATTGAGCCAGTACTGCTATCCTCCCAGACAAGTCTGGTAGCAATTTGCAGATCCCGGATGGATGGAAGGCTTGATAGGTCATAGGCGCGGGAATCGATTCCACGTGTGTGTCGCAGTGGTGCCTCCGACGACTGCGCCACGCGCCCCGAAGTCAAACTATGTTATATATATGCGGTTCTTTTCCACTTGGTGCCTCAAACATGTCAAGATATGCTGCCGTCTTAGCAGCAACCCAGTCGCACTGTCATTTCTCCCTCTGATTCACAAAAGCCCCCACTTTTATTGCCAGTTTATGGAGGTGGAGGCTTCCTCTGATTCACAAGCATAACTCCGGAGTATGGAAGCAGTCCAACCAGAAGCTTGCTGTTTTAATCAAAATCGTGTAGGCTCAAACACTTAAAATCCCTCAATCGATCTCTGCGCCCATGGCCCACCAAGCCTTCTATCCGTCCGGGGTCGGTAAATTGGTACCGGGCTTGTTTGGGAGGATAGCAGCACTGGCTCGATACATCGGTAGGCCACCGCGAGTCATTGCAAAGTCCAAATATGCATTCAGTCATCTCCAACGGTACCTTGTGAAGTCGAATACATGGCGCACTCCTCAAGGATTGATCAACGCCGAGAGCTTTATCCTTTAGCACTAAGTAGATTGTTGGAATTGAAACAGTGATCAAAATTCTTGAACAAGGAGCTTGAAACGATTCATAACGCTGTATTTCTTTAGCAGAGAGAATCTGCTGGTTCCTCCTCTTTTAGCTTGCCTTCTAATTTACGCTTCTGAATTCGCAACGTTTATAGACTAAATGCTCTGTGTTCTATGAACATTTCAGATATCATGCCCCATTGTATTTCGTGGTCCTAATGGTTCCGCTGTAGGCGTCGCTGCCCAGCACACGCAAGATTTTTCTGCGTGGTTCTCATATTGTCCTGGAATTAAGGTATCAAAACTGCATATTTTTCACATGTTTATCTGAAATTGTGCAAAATTCACTAAGTAGTCGTTATTGTTATTGGATGTATTATTCACTTAGTGGTATCCGCACTGTACCATCAGTCATACAGCGTTTCAATTCGGTCGGTATGGTTTCCTTGTGAGCATCGTTCGTCACTCATAAGGCCTCAGCACGGTGTTTAATCAATAATTTGGTCCACGAAATTATTCCAGGTAATTGCACCGTATAGTGCAGAGGACGCTAAAGGGTTGTTGAAGGCTGCCATTAGGGACGAGTTACTAATGTACGAAATAGATTGGCGTCATGTACGTGTCAAAATGCTCAGTGTTATTCTTTGTTTACTTTTAGTTGTATTTCTGGAAAATGAAGTGCTGTATGGGCGTTCGTTCCCTTTTTCTGACGAAGTGCTAAAGGACGACTTCGTGCTGCCAATAGGAGTGTGCAGAATTGAGAGGTACCCTTTTATGTGCATACATGTTACGATATGTGTTTACTTTTTCAGAGAAGGGAGTGATATAACGATTCTTTCATTCTCGAAAGGTGTTGAATTATCTCTTGAGGCTGCGGAGGAACTCAGCGCTCTCTGTGTCTCTGCCGAAGTAGGTCCACATCCTCTTCACTTAAATTCTTTTCTGTGCCATATTAAGTGAATTGTTTGTTGATGTTACAATGTGGAAAGTTCGTAAATCTTAACAGGTGGTCAATCTTCGAACTTTGTGCCCTCTTGATTTTGAAACGATTAAGAATTCGGTGGCGAAAACTCGTCACTTGGTCACTGTTGAGCAAGGATGGCCATTTGCAGGTAGACTTCGGCTGTTTGTAAATTCTCCTTTGCTTAAGTACATCAATGTTGTGTTGACTTGAGAGCTATAGACCTTTTTTATAGAAGGATCTCACACCGTTGAGTAGTGAGACAACGTAGCGCGTCTCCAGGTGGCGGATGGGGGTAAATCGCCGACTACGACCTTATGCATCGCTGAGATGCAGGTTAATCTTAAGGATGTACTCGATGTTTCTGCTATTCCGATTTGACATATATCATCTGTACATGCGAGGACATGTTCGTGCATGCGTGCGTGGTTGCGTTCTCGTTTATACGGGTTGCATTCTACGAATCAATTTTGTCAAAACCCCGTGATAAAGTAACTGAAAATTACATGGGCTTTAGATAGTAGTTGCTTTCAACAAATAATTTCATTGTTCATCCATGAAGTTTGGTAAACTATCCACCCAGCCTCCACGTTCAGGACTCAGCAAGGTGTACGTGGGTATAAAATGCCAAGCAGTAAAAAAAGGTGGGCCTTGTTGCTCTCACCTCCAAGAGCCTCCGATAGTGCAAATTGGTGAGGGCGAGTACAGAGAGGCCGCTAAAATCTCAAGGCTATTCTAAGCTGTCTAAATCGAAGCACAAAGGTGACTGTTGGTACTTACAATGTATGCTCACTTGCATCCGAGTGCTCTGTAGAGGACCTGATTATGCAGGCAAGAAGGATAAGGAACCACACCATAGCACTGGCTGAGAGGAGAAGACGCTGCCCATTTAACGCCGTTTATGACACCGAAGAACAACTGTTCCTCGGAACATGCGACAATAGAGGAGTTGGCGGCGTTGGCGTTCTTGTCATCACGAATTTGGCTATGACCACTATTCATTCGAGCAGCTAACAACCTAAACCCGACATTTATGTCGAAGACACCTTGAGCAATGTCGTCTCTGGTAACCTTCGTCGTCAATGCAGCAACGTCAAGCTATGGTGAGCACAAAGTCGTAGCGCACCACATGAACTTGGGCAAGTTCTACAGAGAAATCTATACATTTTTTAAGGTCATCATTGAAGACCTTAGCATTAGGATATGATCCAGAAGAGGAGCATCATTTTGGGATCAACCGATGCGAATGGAATGAGCAGTGTGAGCGAATACTTGGGGTTGTTAAGAGGTGCAAAACCATTCGTAATTCGCAATTCCAGAAGCCTCACCCCTAACACTAGACGTGGAAATTTCGCATTGGAGAGCATTTTAACGAGATACACTACGTCATAGCAAATCGAAGATTTTGCTTAACCGATATCCCTGTTATCTCAAATAGAATTCCACATGGATTGAGACCATTACCTCCTTCGTGCAAGATTTCATTTATTGTAGAAACGAGAAAAAGCGCTCAAATTCTTAAAAAGAAGTTTGGAAACTACCAGAAACTGGTTTCTTCAGTTAATAGATCGACTTTCTTGATAGAATCGACGGGGAATGCGATCGGCTGCTTAAATATCTTCACGTCGGAGTTATGGAAGCTGGGAGTTCGGTAGTCACCAATAGTTGTCTGCCTCCAGAAACACTCCAGCTGAGACCTCAGCGTGGAATCGGACGAACTGCAGGTAACCGCCAGCTCACGTACGAACTTAGAAAACAGTGTAGACAGACGATAGAAGAGGATTTTAAAGAGAGAAGAGCAGCAGTTATGGTTGTAGCTGCAGAGGCCGTCAAAGCATTCGCAAAGCCCACCGAGACTTCTCCAACTACAGAACCAAGATAGTTGCGCTCCGACGCTCAGACAGATAGTTACGGCGTCCAGAAAGGCAATGGAAAGAATTATTCACAATTACTGCTCGGATCTCTTTAATAGCCACGTCCTACTGCACTCATACAAAGAAAAAAAGAATGATGGATCTATCATCCCAGTGGTTGTCTCTTCTGAAATCCGACACTGGCCCTAATAAACACACTATCTCGAATTTTCATACGTTGACCGTCAAAATGAAAGGATTCTATCTAGTGGGAAACCACAATACTGCGTTAGTACACACTAATTGTGACCTCGACGACATCGGCAACTATCGCGCAATCTGCTTGCTGTCTGTCGTCTGTAAACTCTTTACCCGAGTCATCTTAAACAGGATTGACAGAGCAGTGGACGAAGGACAGCCATGCGAGCAAGCAGGGTTTCGAAGAGGATTCGTTGCGAAGGACTACATGCACACGATAGCAAGATTCACTGAAGTGTCGCGATAGTACAACTATCCGCTCTATCTCACTTTCATCGACTTAAAGTAGTTACGGATTTCCTACTTACTATATAAAGATTCTTAGTGGGCTGTATAAAAAATTCACATCGAAAATGTCATCTTTCTGCGACGATAGTAATATCAACGTTAAAAGAGTGATAGACAAAGGTAGACCATCTCCACAGAATTATTTACCGCCACCCTCGAAATGACATAGGAACATTGGAATGGAAAAACATGGGAGTGAAAATTGATGGTCGGCAATTACACTATTTTCGATTTACTGGTGACATCGTCCTTATAACACCACGAATTTGCCAGGCGAAACGAATTGCTCGTGGAAAGATTAGTTTTTGACCAAATTTCATAAAATGACCTTCGTGAGGAACGGTTTGATTTCGTATGCCTCATTCACGCTGGACTGTGCAAATATCTCCGAATGGTCCAGCTACTTCTATGTAGGTCAGTGTTTCAATATTATAAGCAACTTGGCACCAGAATTGAACAGAAAAAACGCAATTTTGGGAAGCTTTCAAGAGCATCGACAGTGTAGTGAAGAGAATAAGGAACACTCAACTTCCACCTCATTTTCTTCTGCTCCGAGATACACCTTGTTTTAACATAGGAGCGCCGGAAACCTTATCTATTAAGAGCTATTCGGAAAGCTATTCAAGCAGCATGAAAGGTTAATGAGCGTTATAGAACTCCCAGTAGAGATCGAGATGCCAGGCGTATCCTGCACCTCGCTAGTGAGGGAGGGGTTACGAAGCTCCGACTGGCGAAGTCCTTCTATACTGTCGAAGACAAGGTGGGCCGGACTACGTTATGCTTAACGACAACCGATAGATAAGAGCTGTTAGTGACTGAATTCCTCAAGATGTTGAACGCACTGTAAGAAGACCACCGACTCGATGGTCAGAGTTTTTCACGAAAACCCTAGAAGAAAGATATGGTGCTCAACGAGTCCCTGGAAGGAGCAGAATCTACAAGGCTAGTCTTGCAAACGACTAGGGGAAACCGAAGATTTACTGGCGCTAGCTCGAGTCTCTCGTGGGCCAACAGTACGACAGGTTGTACAGATGAATAGTGTTATAGTGTTTCGATTACCGCTCAGTCAGTGTTACGCGAAGTCACCTTCTTACAGGTATTGGAGCTGAAATTTGTGCCCAGGTGAATGAGGATGTTGCATGGAAATACCTGAACGGTCCAATTCTTCGCGTCACTGGAGCAGATGTACCAATGCCATACGCTGAGCATCTTGAGGTGGAAGCACTCCCAAGCATTAACAATATTGTGGCTACATGTAAGAAGAGTCTCAACATATAGTGAGAAACTTTTTATGATACATAGACTGTTGTCCGCCTAGCAGAAAACACGCTGTATTCCTGTATAGTATAGAGGTTCGTTATGTTAATCATACATTTTACAGAGTACATTCCCCAGAATATAGCCAATATTTCACACACTCAAATTCCAGTTGTGGTTGTATAAAGCTGTACAGGCTGACCTTTCTTCTGTAAGCTTCCTGTTTCTATTTGATGTATTTTCTCATGTGAATTATGAAATAATTGATATCAACCTTTTGTAAAAGTCACCCGTTCTCTGTTCCTACAATATCCCCTTTCGATCCTTGTGGCATTGTTAACTTTTATTTACTGCATACAACAGTTTTTCACGGCAGTCTAACATGTGGAATACAGCCAAAACAGTGGTGAGATATTTGCAAAAATTCGAACCACAGATGTCTGAGTTGGGAATCGTACATGCTGTTATCTTTCCGAGGGCTAACGCATCCACCATACTATGCGGGTGCTTCGTTTCTCCTTTAAGTACACAGTGCTCTGCGGTGAAATTGTGCTAGGCAGTAAATAAAAAGTTAACATTGTAGTTTAGACTACACCCTTAGCTTAACTGTATTCAATGCCGATTTGTGCTCTCCAGATCAATCCCGTTCTACGGTGAATGCTGATGGCAGTGGCAGGTAGAAAACTAGTTAACAGACAGGCGAAACGAAGGACCCGCATGGTGTGGTGGTGAACGCGTTAGCTCCCGAAAGGGGTTATAGCGTGTTCGGTACCCATCACGGTCACCTACGGTCCGGAGGTTTGCAAATATCTCAGCATCATTGTGGTCGAATTTCACGTAATACCCTGCAGTCAAAAATTTAGTAGATAGTAATTAAAAAGTTAACACCTGTCACGTGTCTTTAAAATTGCGCAACGAGAGCCTCAAATTGTTTCAACAGTAAGGGTGGCAATCCATTTGGATATTCAAACACGCAAAGGTAAAGAGTATAGCACTTAATGTTGATACAACACATCTGACTACATTGGGTATCGTTAGAGGTGATCGAATACCGATCTGGCCTATTCAATGGATTGGGGTGATGTAGCGAAGTATTAAGTAAGCGCTGCTATCATTCCAGAGAATTCTGGTAGCAATTTTCCGACTTTTTATGAGGATTAGTTTGGATAGTCAGGATTTGGAGGAGCGGAAAGATTAGTTGATTACAGGCGCCAGGAGGAGACTCGAATGAGGAACCCGACGCGATGAGCCACCATAGATGACTTATAACGATGTCACTACGAAGACACACATCGTGAGGGCAAATGGCTGTGAACCAACGACTTGGAAAAGGAAGATGGAGCAGCTGAAATGTCTGGCAAATGAAAGTCAACAACTTCATGTTATTTGAACAATTTAAAAAGATACTGATTTTTCATTCTAAGGTTCAATTATGGTCGGTTTTGAAAAATATCTATCAATCAACATTGCCTTTTTCGACATACATTATGCGACACGAAAATTTCAAGATACTTGCTGGGTTTCCAACTACGCAGTCCACAGTGATGTTTGTGTACTTGGCTACACACTCTAGTACTACGTGGATATTGATCCAAATAGACTTAAAATTGTGGTCCCATTGATCAAATAACTCCAACAGACATCAATGAACCTCAAAGACTCATTCACCCTAGTGACATGAATAATACAATGGCTTCGTTGGTACCACTTCTTTTATTGCTTCTGACGAGAACGTAAGATAACATACGTCCACTCCTAGATAGCCTTCCACCTAGGAATAACAGACTACGTCTCAGCTTAGGTGAAGCTGTTGAAGATAATATCGAGTGTATTTATGGGAAGTAACATAGATAGATTAGACGTTAGATAAATTTGGGAGAGAATTATTGTTTCCTCACTTTTTTTTAAAACATAAATGGAACAGTGTACTTGTGTAATTTGATGACATTCGTCTGGCATTAGGGTTCAAAACGAACGTCAACCAAAATGAGGCGGAAATCAGCGAAAAGGATTGGTCGAATTGACTGCATTGCTTATCTGCTCAGTATCACTTTCCTTCATTAGTTTCTTTGAAAGCAAACAATTCGAATCTTTGGATTACATTTTTATTGGCATGTCTGGGTGCATAAGCAGGAGCAGAGCGGGTTTGTATCTGCATTTGTGATCTGGTGCTGCCTTCCAAGTTTGTGAATCACAAAAAACAATACTGTCATGTTCTAGTGCGGCTAACTAGGTTGATGTAAAGAAAGTTGCCGTTTCTCTCGTTTTAGTGATAATCGTTCGTCGCTCCTTCAATACTTCAATGACTTAAAGGTACTTTAAAAGATGCTTTTAAAGAAAAAACCTCATCGTTTTTTCTACTGAAACTGGTCATTACTTCCATGATATATGACCCCTATGCAAGTCGCGTCGTTAGGTTTTTACCACTTAGTGAGGTATACCACTCCTCAAATATATGTGTTCTTATTCTTTTGTGACCATGACTTTATTCGAAAGTATTTATTAATGTTTATATACAATCGCAAGATGAGAAACTGCGACAATAGTTATTACAAAACAAACAGAGCTACGTAAAATATAAAAGAAGTCACACACCACTGAAGTTCAGTCGCGTGAATGGAATTGGAGGTTTGATTTTGTAGATCTCTGGCTAGTGAGATGTTTTGAGAAAACGATGAGTCCTTTTCTGCATTCAGTGTTGTCATCAGACCGATGACTTCGTCATAGTTTTCGAGGCTTTCGGACTGTTCTTCATCTTCCTCATCATCTATTTCGTTGGAAAAACTAATTTCCTTGAAGTTATTTGTTGTGAACACTTTGAGATCGTCATTACGAAACTCGCTTGAGGTGACCGTTTGTTCGGTGGAAGTCGAATAAATGGTGCTCAGCTTCGGTGTCGTCTGGGTTGTAGTTGTCCGGATAGTAGTCGTCTCGGTTGGTTGCCCCCCTGATGACCATGTATTTTTCGTGGTCGTCGTCGAGTTGCTGGCTGCGCTGGACGTACTCATACGTTTCGACTTCTCTACAATCAAAAGTATTCCGAAAGTTATTTGAGCAGATTTTGATTAAATGAAGTTAAATAGAAGGATATGCGGTATTCTACTTTTTGCTTTCTTTGTTCTGATATTTTTTATACGCTAGAGCAAAAGCTTGGAAATACTTCCCACATTTTGTAGAATAATTCCCGATTACTTTTCTTGCCAAATATTTCTTCTCTGATGTTTAATAAGATGTCTGAGTTCCTTACCAAGTGTTGGTAGTGGGTTCAGTTTCATCTGTTCCAATGTTGACGTTCTCATTAAACCAACGTCGAATGCATAGTCGGTATAAACAAGACATCGGCCAAAGCCTTTGTTGGCAGTATTCAAGGCAAACAGTCGCGTCACCGGCTGGGACACCTGTGAAGCTTATCTTCTACACAGTGGAAGAGGACATTAATATCTTAATAAGTCCTCTGACAACTATTTACACCTAACTGTAATAATCACTATTTCTCTATTGATATTTACAAAGGGTTAAACTGTCCCCAAGTCAACAAGCAACGAAAGTATTGTATTTCTTGAATGCAAAACAGCAGGCAGTTCGCTCTATACTCAATATTAGGTCGAAAAATTTTAAAGACACCATTTCAAAGAGTATAGAGTACTTCAAAAATAATAGCAGTCACTAATTCTGCCATCGCTTCTTCTTGATTAATCATTACAAACAGTCTGTAAGGAACTAGAAGCGCAAATCTCGAAAGAAGAGCTGGGCCTACTTTAAAATTTTATGAGTTCCCTAGAATGTCGCTGAATGTGGGGGAGTGGTTGAAATACTATAAAAGTTAAATATACTAAAAGCACTATGGATTCGTCATCTTCTAGGAAGTAAATGCGAAACATTAGCACGGAAACTCCTACCGATTTGTCTGTTTCTGTGTGCATCAACACATTCTGGTCAGCAGACATACCATTGAGCCAAACACGATCACTTCTCGACGACGTGTTCAAATAGTGTGTCTTCAACGTGTTAGGCCTAGAATTTCCAACATCAAGCTGTCCTGTGAAGCAACTTATTACCAGCGCAAGCGCTTTATTCGCCCTTGACAAAACACCTGGCTTTCAGTAGGATTCGCAGTAAATGGATGTATTAGCAGCGATATAAAGTAGGAAAGTACCAAAATTTATTTTTTCTTGCGATATCTTCGGTGAAATGACGTCTAATGATAAGTTTAATATAAAGTTCTGCCTATTCCCAGACCAAGATCTCAAAGTCACAAATCATTACGCCAAACGAAAAAATTAATTGATGTTAAAGGCAGGGACCTTTAAAAACTCATACTGAATACGCAGGACATTACGATAGGTCGTTTTTAACTTGAATACGATTACCACGAATAAGTTTCGTTACATTTTTTCAGTAAAAAACATGAAAGACTAGTAGTTGGCCAATCTCGTCACCGAAGTGAAAAACGAAGCTCGTGGAATTTTTACCTAAACAACAGATCGTACGAACATTCATAGAGCAAATGACGTTCGAATCTATTACGAATATAGAGGAAATGCCGATGATTATCCAACATGACGACGTATTCACTCGCCAACTCTGCACCGATCCACACTTTTGGAGCTAAACGACATTCGATCACGAGTATTAGTAAATGCTTTCGGCTCATTCCAATTCAAAGTTATCAAGTTATTCAAAAATACGTTTTGCATTGTTGTTCACGATGATCTTTTCAAGATGCCGTAGGTATCCATCTTCAGTGATTTGAAACTGATGTATCGTCCATAGCGCACCGGTGCTTTGAGAGTCGATGAAATAGAGAACATCCTAAAATTCATTTATATCTCGAATGATTATGTACTGACAAGTGGTTTGCAGGTCTAGTCAGCCGATTCTACGATTTCGAAGTTTCCTGGGCGAACATTTTAAATTATGAGTGAAAAATAACATACATTTCACTTGCACTAACTTCCCTCAACCCCACGGAGTCCACACTTAACAATAGTGTTGTCACAATGTTTAACGTTTTGTTTTCTGCCTTCTATAATTTTCATGGCAGGTTACTAAGCGAAATACAACCACAACGTTGCTGAGATATTTGCAAAACTCTGGACCGCAGGTGTCTATGGTGGGGAACGAACGCGCTATTATCCTTTCCGGGGAGTAACGCGTTCACCACCACACCATGCGGGTCCTTTGTTTCGCACGTCTCTCAGCTATTTCTATCGATCTTTGCCACAGCAATCACCCGTCAGCGGGCTTGATCTGACGATAGAAGATCGATAGAAATAGCTGGGAGACGTGCGAAACAAAGGACTCGCATGGTGTGGTGGTGAACGCGTTACTCCCCGGAAAGGATAATAGCGCGTTCGTTCCCCACCATAGACACCTGCGGTCCAGAGTTTTGCAAATATCTCAGCAACGTTGTAATAGTGTTGTCATCTAAACTGAGAAAATTTTCGTCATCTCTATATTGGAGCTCAGCTGGTTCATGATAAACCAGTGTCCAGTTAACTTGTAGTGGCAACTCTACTGACATGCAGGAGCCCGCGCAAGCGGTGAAGGCCATACAAGTGTTCAGGTAAGCAGTTAAGTATTCGTCAGATGGTCTTACGAATCGCAATATCTTAGTCATTCAGAACAGATCACTCTTAGCAAGTTTCAAAAGAGTTTTAGTTGCCGAATGTAATAGTAGAGATTCGCCGATCAATAGCTGTAGACAGTGATTATAGTAAAATGAAATCCAAGTTCAAGAAAATAATGTTGGAAGGAGTACTTACATTGAAAACAGAGTCCAAAAACGACAAATCAGGTTCTAATCGGAACATCTGCGGAGAGGAGTGGGAACAAGAAGCATATGGTAGCGATGATAGTAGTGAATAGCTAAAATGCATTGAAATAGCTGTCAGTTAACAACGATTGCAGCATTTCTAAACTGACTATTAGGGAATTGCTTAAAGTCATTTAACACAAGAACAACTTTAGTAGAAATACGGTACAGTAGGTGAAAGCAAAAGTGGTGAACCCATTGTTGTAGGGTACCTAAGTATCATACACCTCGGTGGACCATTGAATATATTTCGTCATTCGAACAAAAGCCACCTGCAAACAAAATAAACCTGTTAGTTGGCGAATTCGTCCCTACCCTGTCTGCGGTTTTCCGTTCTCATCAAAAACGCATAATAAGTGCTAATTTTCTTATATGTAATTGCTTCTACATATTTATCTGTTTATTTGTTTATCTATATAACCCGATTTAGATATAGTGCTGACTCCAAAGTCCTTTTGATCGTGTTTGTTGTCTCGTGTCCGTATTCAACAAAACATTTTGGATTTGCGTGTGGGATTCGGTTGCTAATTGACTATTTTGACTTTCTTAAGAATTTCCCCGAACTTTGATTGAACCAATTTCTGGGATATTTCTGCTTGGAGCGTTCTGTTTTTCACTATAGGCAGTCGCTGACAGTAGTGGATTGGAGAAGGACAGGCTCGAATCAGCGACTACCTTTATACTTCATAACGTCTCTCGTCACTGAGGTTTATGTCTTTTTAGATGGTGCTTTCCGAGAGAAATATAGCTAGAGCATAAAGAAAAGCTGCTATCTAGATGGCATGGCAAGTTAGAGAAGGCAGTTCCAGACAAGATGCCATTTGGAAAGTTGGGGTAAGAAACAGGAAAAAGCGAATATAACAGATTGCACTCGCTGACTTCTCAGCGTACGAAACACTATAAAGGTTCCTACCTTTAATAACCATTGAAGTCGGACTTAAATTTGACTTATATAAGTCAGAGAGACTTAAATGTCGACTTATATAAGCCAGGGAACCGTTTAGAATCTAGAATTATTACAAAATAATAAAATGAACGAGTTCAACGCACTGCCTAAGTTTATTCGAACTCTGCCATCCCATGTTAACAACAGCAGCAACAATGACAACAGCAATAACAATCAATAGAATTCTTAAGTTACCGATTCTTAATCGCTACCTGAATAGATGATCACCGAATAGCATCTCGGTCGGTGGAATCTGCACGTCGAGTGTGCACATTCGATTTCCAGCTTGTTTTGTTAACAGCAGCAACGAATTGTGAGACTTCAAATAGAATGTCTAATTTCAACTGATGAAATGGAAAATCAAGAGCTTCTGGTTCGTAGAGGGATTCTATATTGAGTTTAGCTTCACAGAGATCGTGGCGGTTGGAACAATATTCCGACTTTGCTTAACTTTTATTCACTCCCTTTCTTTATGACAGGGTATCATGTGAAATGCAACTGCAAGGATGACGAGATGTGAGCAAAACTCGGAACTCCAGTTAAGTTTCAAATCTGCGATTACCCTTTCCGTGGGTTCATCTGCTAACCACTTCATCAACCGAGGCCTTTGCTTTGTCTTTCTCTCATCCACTTTGTTATTCTATCGGTGCTATCAGCTATCACCTGTAAAAGGGAATAGTGCGAGGAGTGGAAATCGGCGTTGAACCCGATTAAGCTGAAGCCGCAGTCGATCACAATGTTCACAATGTCTTCACTTCTATTTACTACGTGATAGCCGATAGTACCCATAGAGCAAAAGCATGTCTAAGATATAAGCAAAACAAGAGCTTCGGTTGCAGCAGTGGATAACAGGTCCTGGAAAGAGTTTCATTTAGACAACGCCTACAAGTAGAACTTCTTGGAAAGAAAAACTGTCTTCACTTTCTAAATTTTTCGTTGCCGTAGGAAAGTGACTGCAAAAGCTTCGTCATAGGAGCCCAGAAAAGATTATTTCAAGCACAAAACTTCGAGAATGATCGAATTTTCGCATTAAACGGCTTTTCTGCTGAAGCCTTTCATCGTTTTATTCTTATTGTCGAAAAACCTCACGTAAATTGAATTTTGTTCGAAGTTGAACTCAAGCCGTCAGCACTAAAAATTCAAGAATGTCTCTCGTATGAGTTGCATAAAGGTCTTCTCTAGAAGGTTCCTTAAGGCGAGGAGATTTTGAGCGAGCGAAGATATGAGCTTATAAACGATGCTCACCTCAGATGCAAATTGTAGCATTCGACGATTCAACAAACCACCCTTACCTTAAGGTGAAGTTGTACCAAATTGGAAAAGCAGTAGGAATTGTGGATATTAACGTTCATCGTTGACAGTAACGGCAATTGCGATGGTCGAATAAAGAATATTTGGCAGTCCTGGAAAGGAGAGAAGCCTACTACCACCAGTAAGATTTTCACCGTATTGATTCGGGCAGAATTCAGAATAATCTCACAGAGAAAAATAAATAAGACAAGGAATAGCTTAGCTGCTTTTTTAGGATATGCAACAATTGGGTTAAATTTCCTAGTATTTGCAAAAAAAAACCAACCCTTTGCATACATTAATATGAAAGTAAGAATGTCATAGCGGAATGGGTTCAAGGAACGAAGAAGGGTTAAAATCGACTATTTCTTTCTGTAATGATTCAAAGCGCTCATATTCTTCTACTGCTAAAACACTTTTAAAAATTTTTGTGAGCCCTCATCTATTACATGTCTCGGGCATCTGAGTGATATACTTCTCTGCGGAGTTTTAAAAACTCTTTTGAAATCGCTCTTCTCTGCCAGTCATTTCGTTTTCTTTTCAATCTCGATCTTGGGGAATTAAAGCCGTGTAAAGCATTGTTTTTTTTTTTAAATGGATTGTCCAATGACCGACAAACATGAATCAATTTGCCTTCCAGTTCTTTACCAATATTACTGAATGCTGATCGATTTGATGCCTTTCGGTCTTCAAAGTAAGCGGTCGCACGACCTTATGGAGTAGAAGTCTATTTTCTGTTAAATGACTAGGATTCCTCTTGGTCGACTCCTTCCAAAGGCAACAGCGATTCTTACGTCTGGTCGAATCAGTTTTTGAGGACAATGTAGCAAGTCGAACCGTGGCATTTTCACTTGGTAATCTACTAAGACGTAGTCAAGAATTATGCCAAGAGAAGACACTTTAGATAGAGTACTTACTTATTTGGCTACCTAGAAACTACGCTACATAAAATTAACATTATACTTGGATACATGGACACTTGAACAGCCTCTTCAATAGTTATGCGGTCCCCAGTACATTCTCTATTTCTCGGAGTTTGGCTGGGTTAGCCATGGCGTTTCTCTGCAGTGCCGACGTCAACCTGGCTAAAGTCTGTTCCAGCTCGTCACCACCACAGGCAGTGGATCAAAGGAGAATTTGCCACCATGCGACAAGTTTGATACTAGGGCGGAGGTGGATCCTGGTATTCGTTTGCTCTTAGCTCTTAGCTGGGCTTCCTGACGAAAACACCGGACTCCTTCTCAGCATGGAGTCCCTGCCAGGGGAATGAATCCCCTCGCTGTACATCGCAGTTCGACACCCAGGAACACCTCTTAACCACGATGAGGTGCTAAACCTTTGGGAGAAGCTGAAATTATTGGTAGCTCGAAAATCTGAATTAGGCACTGGAATGGAATTATGCAACAAGAATTCGTGTAACGCAATTATCAAACATGCTAAGAAGAAGTTCACTATTTTATTAGGAGGTCACTAGCTAGAAAGCACAGATTTCGATACCAGGATAAAAATTGTCAAAGGCTTGGAACTTTACTGAATGAGACGATCACGCTATTCAAGGGCTTATGTTCATAAATTACCGCTTACAAAATTTATTCTTTAAACAAAATTTAGTTGTAACTAAAGCCTCAGCTTAACTGGGTCCGTTGCCGATTTGGGCTTCCCAAATCAATCCCGTGACGGGTGATTGCTGATGGCAGAGATCGACAGAACTAGCTGAGAGACAGGCGAAACGAAGGACCCGCATGTTGTGGTGGTGAACGCGTTACTACCTGGAAAGGACAATAGCGCGTTCGTTTCCCAACGAAGACACCTGCGGCCCGGAGTTTTCCAAATATCTCAGCATCATAAAATTTAGTTGTTTTAACATGACATAAGCAAATCTGAAATGAACCGTGCCGAATAAAGATTAAATTCCAACCATAAATCTTTCCGTCTTATAATGTCTTTAGAAGAACCCATAATCCCTGCTAGAGGTAAACCATACAAAAATTATTCCTCGAAGTGTTGCGAAATATACGAAGAGAGGCGAAGTCGTTTAAGGCAAAATAACGTCATGGTTGAATGCTTTTTAGCTGGAAGCGGCAAACTGCACGTATTTCTCGCAAATCACAGTGGAGGGAAAGGATTTCACCGTCGTTATCCTAACAACGAAAAGTTGCCGAAGGATGCTTCGTGACTTCAACACCGTCCGCTCCTTGAATGAATTCTACAAAGTGTTCGCGTTAATTATCATATCCCGAAAGCAACCTGTCAACGAGGCGTTTGCTTTTTGTGTTACATCCGAACTGCAACTAGAAGTTTTTCGAGAGTACTCTTATTTGAACCATCGTCAACTGTGAAAAAGTATTTGGAATTATCAAAGCGAACGCAGTCCTATCAGCGCTAATCGAGCAAGGAGTGGACCTCTCCAACATAAAAACTCTATTTGACTGCCTTCCCAAATGCTCCGCAACAATTCCACCTACTCTGCAAAAGGTCGTAACCGATGACAAAAACCCTATCGAGACCTCGTTTTTTCCGATAAAATCAGCACCATCCTAGATCTAATGGTGAAGGTGAGAATGACGTTTAACTACTTCAATGAAAAACGAGAAGGAATAGGGGTGCGAATAAGTCGAACTAAAGATGTATGAAAAACTCGTGGTGCAATGGAAAGCGAAACAAGATGGATGGCTGTTTTATAATGGAGACCACATTTTATACGTTTCTAAGGCATTGAAATTGATCAATTGATTAAGAAAATGCACATGCCGTGTTCGTTTCTCTCAGATAAGCAAATAAATTGAACTACCCAAAGCCTTGCACTTACACTTTCGGATCCTCGGTCCTCTCAACACTCTCTTTTGCAGAAGCGACATGGTTTCATACTTTTACCACGTCGAAGACTTTGTGCACCTTCTGTAGATAGCTGTCATTGGAATGTAATCGGCATTTACAACATTAAACCTGGCAATGCAGTTCGAAGCTTTGAAAACATCTCATCTTCGAGATCATGAAAACACACAACTTCACCGAATACAATGTTCGGATGGATTTGTTGCAAGATGAAAACAGTTAAAGACGGACGAAGATACGGAGTGTGCACTGAGACTCAGTAGGACGTGATCGTCCACCGGGGTGAATGCCTATATGATGAGTGGACACGTCTCTATCCGAGTCACCCACCTATATTTGTAGGTCTAAAACGTTTAAGGATATTCCGAGACGTTAACATGATTAAAGCTGTCATCAGCGATGATCGTGAAGAACATCAATGAATCTATGTAACTCAGTTGCTTAAATGAAGAATGAACATGTATTTAATGTTGCTGAGCTTACGCGAGGTTGATAAATAGATTTATCATCGGCTAACGTTTCGACGTCTTCGTCTTCATCGGAATTGATGATTCGTGTCGGTGGTCCACAGGATGAAGAAACTTTTCTTTATCAACATCATATGAGCTTAATAATCCAGGAAGTTATTGAAGAATGTTTATTCAAACGGCGACCATTTACATGTTACCTAATTTTTGGTCCTCACTGTATATCCACTAATGCCTCACCTCCACAACCCTCGCTGTCCTTTTATGGACATCTTCATTTAATAATGAATTAATAGAAAACGAAAATTGGAAGTTTGTTGCTTGAATATGCACTTGGAATGCGACATGTATTTGATAAATTTCATTTCAATTATTAAATGTCTATTTTAAAATCTAGGTTTTTACGGTAGTATGAAGTTATTCCATAGAAATACAGACCGAAGTACCTGTGTTAACCCGTAAATTATGAAGTCTTCGGTTTCGTTGCCTGCTACGTCACGGAAATGTCGCGAGAGACAGACTTCAGCAAGTGCTGTCATGAATGCCGTGACGGCGTTCCAAAGCAGAACAGTACGCCACCATCGACCACAACCGCGACGCCATATGCTTTAAGAAGAACACCATTCACGTAGTTTAACCAAAAACAATACCACTGAAAGCATTTGCATTATTTTTTATGCTTATATTTCCAGTTTTAGAAGTGCACATAAAGCACTTCCTAGAAAGCCCACTATTAGGTAAGCATTTCGTTGTTAAGCCCACCACTACGTGGTATCAATGGAACTTTTCCCAACTTGTATCATTATTATTTTTCATTATATATTTTTATTGCATATTTTAAATTAGTAACCTTTAATATTATTAACTATAATAAAAGGATAAAAGTATAAATCTCTCGGCCTTGATCAAGATGCACCATGCATTCAACTTCATTAAGCATCGTTTGGAGGTGAATGAATGCATATCTGGGCTTTATAATGACTCCAGGTGGCCTACCGATGTATCGAGCCAGTGCTGCTATCCTCCCGGACAAATCTGGTACCAATTTACCTACCACGGATGGATGGAAGGCTTGGTGGGCCATGGGCACGGGGATCGATTCCACAAGTGTTTTGCAGGGCGCCTCCTACTACTGAGCCACACGCGCCTCACTAACTATAATGTAACTATAATATCGCAGTAAATCTCGAAACTATTTTTTAAAATGACTGAAAAATGTGTTTAATAAACACCATTTGCAATAGGAGGTTTTTAATGCCATGACTCTGTGAAGACTGCAGAGATATCTTCGGATTTGTTAAATCACTACCAGTATGAGAGTTATAGATATGAAATAAACACTCTATCACCCAGTCATCATCGCACGGCTATGTTCGTAAGCAGAACGGCCACCTGCCGGAAGACCATCAGCATTGGAACGGCAATGCACCTGCAACGTCAACATGTTTTACTAAACATTACTAGCTCCATTCAACGAAGTAGTTTATCATTCGGAAATAAACGACTAAGACGCTTTGAGACGGATTAGTTTTGAGACAGTGAGACAAAAACTGCAAAACAGATACTATGGATATCATATAAACTTGAACAAACATCATCATTTCGCAAATGAGAAAAAACATGTGATCTGATATAACAAAAAAGAAGCATGCAGCTGAGAAGTTAGAAGTGCCATGTGGTGCACATAGTCAGAGGTATAAAAAAACCCAAGCAACCGGATAAGCAAGCCCAACTTTCTTCCGGGCTCAGCAAATTGATACTAGATTTGTCTGAATGAACAATAAGCACTTACTTACTACATGAGCAAGTCAGTCTCTACAAGTCATATATGGATCAAATGTGCATTTACCCGAATCCACGACGTATCTCTTAGGGATCGATCAACGCCGACCACTTTTATGTCTTTATAACAGCAAAAATTCGGGACTAATAGCATTTGTTAGTAAAACCTACGAAATAAAGGTACGTAATGTGGTAGGTGGGATTGAGGACATATCAGAGAGATCGGGCAACTGGAAACACGACTGATCTATTGAGTCGACGATAACGAGCATGAAAATGGAGAATGCTGACTCAAAAAGTCAGACAATATTATGAAGAAAAAATTTCATAAGCGAGATAAAATTGCAATCAAATAAATAAAACAGAATCAAATAACCAATTTACAAGGGCCAAACTTGAACGTAGTTGCAGCCCGTGGCTTAAGATCCCTACTAAGTGATTCTTTGCTCATTTAGGACAAGGAATTGCTAACTTGGATACACATATCATGACAACTATGCGAAAAGAAACGACTACCGCGAGAAAATGGGATTACATCCGGATGAGAAACAAGAAGTAAGATTTTCTCTTGATTAAGGCGATGTTTATAAACAAGGAAAGAGAACCGAGCAGAAAAAAAAACAATAAATTATTGGTAAGCGCTGAGGTTCTTAAAAAGTTGGTGCTGAGAATTGTTGTTTACGGTGTTCAAGTGATTATAGAAGCGTTTCAACAGATGGTGGGCTGACCCAAACGCAATGCGTTAAACAAATCGGCAACTG